TTCGAGTCCTGGACGCAGTGGCTTAAACTCATGCCAGGTGCATGTGCACATGTGCCCAAAATCCCAAGAGGAGAATGGAGAAGAAGGGATTGCAGTATGGCCATCGCCACTGGGGGTTGATTTCTCGCTTTCTGTCTCTCTCTTTCTCCAGCAAGCACACATGCCATATATAAAAAAATCTCTCTCAAAAAAAGAAGGTAAAAACTTTGAGCACAGGTTGATGATGCAGTTGGTAGCAAACTGAAGTTCAGTGCTGGAGGCCACAAGGCTGACTGAGGGTTCAAATTCTTGGGTTGGCCTAAAAACAGACCAAGTGTGTGCATGTGCCCAGGATCTTGAGGAACTATAGGGTGGGAAAAAGGGATCATCACTTGATGAGACCCTGTCGAGGGTGTTATTCTCTCTCTCTCTCTCTCTCCCTCTGACTCTTTCACTAATTAAAAAAACAAAAAACAAAAAAACAAAAAAAAAAAAACAAGACCTGAGATCAGTACAAAAAAAGTTAAAAACTTTTGTTCTGGGGCTAGCTGGTGTTGTGATGGGCTAAGGCAGCTGGATGCTATGGCAGCTGGATGCTATATGAATGACCCCATGGTTTCAGTCCTGGACCTGGCAGCTTGAAAATCACACTGGATGTGTGTGCATACATACCCAAAATCCTGAAAGGAGAAATGGAGACGAGAGTGAGGTGTGATCATCCCCATAAGGGTGCTTTCTCACTTTCATGCACTCTCTCTCTCTGTCTGTCTTTCTGGTGAGCACACATATCCTTTAGCAAATTAAAACAACAAAACTTTAGTTCTATAAGAGATTCAAAACACAAGCTTCAGCAAGGGAGAAAGTATTTGCAAAACACCTATATGGTAAAAGACCTGTATCCAAAATAAACAAAGAATTCTTAATGCTCTACCTTTTTAATTTTTTTTGGAGAGGTTTTTTTTGTTTTTTGTTTTTTGTTTTGTTTTGTTTTTGCTATAGGGCGCATGCGCTCGCCAGACAGACAGAGAGACACACAGAGACAGAAAGCGAGAAATCACCCCCCAGGGGGGATGGCCATGCCACTATCCCTTCTCCTCCATTCTCCGCTTGGGATCTTGGACACGCACGCACACGCGCCCGGCATGAGTTTAAGCCACCGGGTCCGGGACTTGAACCACGGTCGTCTACGTGGGAGTCCAGTGACATGGCCATTATGCTAACTGCTGGTCCCCCTCTACCTTTTTAATTAAAAAAAAAATTTTTTTTAAGGTTTTTGCCATACGGTGTAAGTGCTCACTGGAGAGTGACAGACAGGGGAGAAGTGAGAAATCACCTCCCAGGGTAGATGGCCATAGTGCAATCCTTTTTCCTCCATTCTCCTCTCAGGATTTAGGGAACACACACACATGCTTGGCATTATTTTTAAGTCATCGGGTCCAGGATTTGGAGTTGTACATGTGGGAGTCCAGGGCCTTAATCACCATGCTCCCTGCTGGCCTCACAGTCTACTTTTTTTGATGGACAAAGATCTTAAAAAAAAACAAGCAATATTATACCAAAGAAAATATACAGATGACAAATAAGCATATGGAAAAATGCTTGAGAGCATACAGAGATAGAACACAACAAATCACCCCCCCCCAGAGGGGGTGTCCACACCGCTGTCCTTCTCTCAGGATTTTGGGCACATATGCACACATGCCCGGGTTGTGCTGCCAGATCCAGGACTCAAATCATGGTTGGCCACGTGGGAGTCCAGGGCCTTAACTACTCTTCCATTTGCTGGTCCCGGTTCGGCAATTTCTTTCTTTCTTTCTTTTTTTAAGATAATTATCTTATTTAACTTTATTTATTTATTTATTTTAATTTAACCAGTAAGGGACAGAGTAAGGGGGTGGGAGAGTGGGGAGAGAGCAAAAAAGCAAGCTGCCAGGTTCAGGACTCAAACCAGGGTCAGCTATGTGGGAGTCTAACACCCTTAACCACCACGCCACTTGCCAGCTCCCAGTTTGGCAATTTCTTACAAAGCTGGAAATAAACTAAACACCATCTTATCATATGATTCAGCAATTGTGTTCATAGATATTTACTCAACTGATTTGAAAAATTATGTCTACACAGAAACCTGCATGCAAATGATTATAGCAGTGATTCACAATTATCGAAAATTGGAAACAACCAGTTGTCTTTCAATGGGTAAATGTTTAAACAAACTTTAATACAACGGAATTACTGATAAAATGAGCTATCAAACTAATTTGATAAAAGAATTATATCCAAAATATACAAAGAATTCTTAAAGCTCAACCATAGCAATCTACTTTTTTTTTTTTTTAAGGTTCTGCCATAGGGTGTGTGTGCTCACTGGAGAGAGACAGAGACAGTAAGAGGGTAATTAGGAAATCACTATTATCCTAAATATACAATACTAAGTGAAAGATATCTGTCTGAAATGAGTAAATATACTTTAATTACAATTATGAGACATTCTGGAAATAATAAAACTATAGCAATGGAAAAAGATCAGTGGTGCCCAGGGTTTGAGGAACACGAGGGAGGGTTAAATGTAGGATGCACAGGGGAATTTTTTAGGGCAATGAAATTATTCTGTATGGCTACATGAATGCTCATAGAAATTTTATTTAACAGGTCCAAACTGAAAACAGCTCAATGTTCAATCATAGGTGAATAAACACATTGTGGTATATCTATACAATGGAGTATTATTCAGCAACAAAAAGCAATGCACTACTGATACAAGCCACAAAATGATGAATCTCAGAAATATGCTGAGCAAGAGAAGCTAGACTATATACTTTATGATTCAATAAGAAATTCTAGAACATGAGAATGAATCTATAATTTGTTGTCAGGGGTAGGGTGGTAGTGGTGGTGATGGTGGTAGGCACTGACTACTGAGAGGCTAAGGAAACTAAAAAAATTGCCATAAAGTGCACGTGTTCGTTCCTCTAAATGGAGACAGAGAGGCAGAGACAGAGGGAGATAGAGTGAGAAGAAGGTAGCCCCTAATGCAGCATGGGCATGCCACCCTTCTCCACTTCTTCCTATCAGGATTTTGGGCATGTACATTTGCCCAGCATGTTTTTAAGCTAATGGGGCCAGGATTTGAACACAGCCATGTAGGATCTGGCTTCCTTAACTACTAGGCTACAGGCTGGTCCCAGAAGGAAATTTTTTACCACATTTTGTTGATCATTTACTTACTGAAGAACATATTGGCTGCTTCCAGATCTGGGCACTTATAAAGAAAGATGCTATAAACATTTATTTGCCAGTTTTTCCACATATACTTCTTTTTCACCACTGATTCTTCAGGCTTATACCAGTTTTTGTTTTCTTTTCTGGCTTATTTCCTTCATAGCTAAGGAAAAAAATCTTTATGTTTTTAATTTTTATTTTTTAATTTGCCAGAGAGCATGCATGTTTGCTGGAGAGAGATAAAGAGGGAGGGAAAGAATGGTCATGTTAAAATCCTCTCTACTCCATTTCTCCCTCCTTTTAGGATCTTGGGCATACATGGACATCCACCCAGCATGTTTTTCAGGCTGCTGGATCTGGGACTTGAAAAATGCAATTGACCACATGGGACCCATCTACCTCGATCACCAGACTACCGGAGGCTTCCCTTTTATCTTGTTTTTCCAAGTCTCAATTTTTATTAGATTCTCACTATTCATTACAATGAACTTTCCTCAAAATTAATACAGAAATTTTATTTCTGTATTAATTGAGCATTTTCCAGTCTCTTAGATTCCTAGGCTCATGGCCATTTCCACAGAATGGTAGAATTGTGTTCTATAATTGAGATTGAAGGACTAGATAACTTTTTTTTTTTTTTACAATGCAAACAAAAATATCAAAGATTTATTCAGTTAATGATTTTGTAATTCCTCTATGCTTAGCTGTGAACTTTTTACATAGAACTTCTAGAATAATCGTATCTGAATTACTGTGTATTCTTTTTGATCACAGAATGAGAATTAAGTTTTCTTAAGAGCATCTCTTAAAACATTACACATAACTTATATGTTTTCATTACTTTTCAAGTCATTCTAGAAGTCCTACATACACATATGGCACAAAACAAGCTGCTCTGTGTGGGAACACATATTTTGCTTTAGTTCTAGACAGCTGTAACAGACAGCTGTACTTTCTTAGTGGCTCTGTGTCTAACACTCTCCTCCTATTTGAGAAAATTTCCCACTGTCTTGACGAGATGCATGTTCTCCTTTTCACTCTGGAACCCTTAGGAGCAGTATCCTGACGCTCTTTACCTCTAGCAACCTGGGAATGGGCATGTGATGTAGGCTCACCCAATGATCAATTTCCCAGGAGTTTGATCCTTGGCCAAACAGCATGAAAATACAGAGATGATGATTTTCTTTTTTCTTTTGTTTTTGGAGACGTTTTTGCTATAGGGCGCGTGCGCTCGCCAGACAGACAGAGAGAGACAGAGAGACAGAAAGCGAGAAATCACCCCCCAGGGGGATGGCCACGCCGCAATCCCTTCTCCTCCATTCTCCTCTTGGGATCTTGGGCATGCATGCACACGCGCCCGATGTGAGTTTAAGCCACTGGATCCGGGACTCAAACCGCAGTCAACTATGTGAGAGTCCAACGACATAGCCATTACACCAACTGCTGGCCCAGAGTTGATGATTTTAATTCACAACAGTGAACAGATAATCTCCAAAGGCATTGAGGAGGTATCCTGAAAAGGCAACAGCAGCAGTGTCCTACAACACAATGGTTGTACCCTTCCCAGGCTATTCCTGCTAAATACTTTCAACTTCTTGGCTGTCTGGGGCCACCTAGGTCTCTATTTTGTCAAGCCTGGTATTATAGCTTCCTGTAAACTTGTGAGATTTGATAGTCTCCAATAATCTTTTTTTAACTTAAGATTGTTAGAATAGCCATTACTTTCCACAAAAGTATTTTAACTGATCAGGAAAATCAACTGATCCATCCATTAGTTCTCCCAATATTTATTAAGTACCTACCTTGCATTGTAGGGCTTAAGAATATGATGGTAAAAACAGACTATTATGGTGAGTAAGAATACAATGATGAATGAGTAGGCATTGCCTCTGTCTTGAAACTGGCACTCTACAAGAAGATACAAACAGGAAGAGATGGTTGAATACATGCATGATGGGGAAAGACACTATTCACCAGAAATAGGTAGAATTTCCCATTGTTACTTTTTCTCTTTGACTTTTTATTTCCACTCTATTTCCTTCACATAATTTTACTATAATGTTATATCGTTATATTCCAACCTTAGTGATGGAAATGGTGGGGGATGTCACATGAAGCTTCAACTGCTAAGTAGATTGGGATTTGAAAATACGTAAAAATTAAACCTAGTTGGGAAGTAAGATGTGGGGTGAGTATTCCAAAAAGAGGGAAAAGTCAGGGAGTGAAAGAGGTATCTTCTTTCACTTCTTCTTTTGAACAGTACCTTCAAAATATTGAAAAGAGGTGCAGAGTTTATTTAAGTAGAGATAGAAAGTAGAGTCTGGAATGATAATTGGGTTTCAGATCATGAAGGGCAATAGGAGTCACATGGAAGTGTTAGCATTCTTTTCTATAAGCAACTGGGAGGAATGAAAGGATTTGAGGCAGAAGTCTCAGTATGCAGAAGCCTGGTGTTGTATAAGAAAATGTTGAAAAATTCAGGGGTGGGAGCAAAACTAATTCATGACTTCAAAGTCAGTTTTTAAAAGAACAATAACAATGTGCTTTCTTTGTGTGGAAATGGTAATAATGAATTTAAGATTATACAGGTTTGCTGAGAATTTTTCTGTAATGGGTTTACTCTGAGTTATGTATTTCCTAAAGGACTAAGAGAATGGCCTTCAGAATTTTTGCTCATACTTGCTAAAATCTAGAGCAGGTGATGTGGTAGTTAAGGCAGCCGGATTTCACATGGCTGACAGCACGGTTTAAGACTCAGACTTGGGGGACCAGCAGTTAGTGTAATGGCTATGTTGCTGGACTCCCATGTAGTTGACTGCAGTTCGTGTCCTGGACCCGGTGGCTTAAAACTCACGCCGGATGAGTGTGCGTGCATGCCCAAGATCCTGAGAGGAGAATGGAGGAGAAGGGATTGCAGCATGGTCATCCCCCCTGGGGGGTGATTTCTTGCTTTCTATCTCTCTGTCTGGCGAGCGCACGCACCCTATAGCAAAAACCTCTCAAAAAAAAAAAAGACTCAGACTTGGTGGTTTGAAAATCACATTGGGCACATATGCATGCATGCCCAAAATCCCTAAAGGAGAATGGAGGAGAAGGACTTGTGATGTGGCTAGCTCTCCTAGGGGATGATTTCTCACTCTCCCTTTCTCTTTCTCTCTCTGGTGAGTGCATGTGCCCTACAGCAAAGTTAAAGAAAAAAGAAAAGTGAAAATAAAACTATGGCATCACTTGTGTATAGGAGGAGAATCAAACTATAGCATTTGACATAATCTATCAATTTTTAAGAAAAAAATGTCATCAACTTTAATAGGAAGAATTTTATGTTACTTTTTCTCTTTGAATTTTTATTTCGAATCCACTTCATCACATAATTTTACCATGTTTTATGTTAATTAGTTTTTTGCTTCAAAGTCTTTTATTGATCACCTTGTCATATGTCCTTCCATAAAAATGTGTATTAAGTTGAGACTTATGAGTGTTAAAATTTTTCTTCTGGATTGAGTCACAATTTCAATTATAAGTAATATGCAATTGATTAAAACAGCAAATACATTTCACACTTTGAAAAACAATTTTTAAACAGTAATTATCTCTGCCCTTTCCCATTTGTTTATGTGTTCATAGATTATTACTCACTGCCGTAATGAGACAGGCTGCCTTAATTTAAAAAGTCTTCATCACACTGATGGTTTGAATGGTGACTTGTTTTATCTTTGTTCTTGCACCTTTGGACAATGTGCCAGTAAGAATGGAGAATGAGACATTTGAGCTGTGAGAAATCCTTTTCAGGGGCTAAGACAACTGAAGAGTTTCTGCTCAGACTTCACCCTCAAGACCCTAGGAACCACCAGATTGATAGGAAACGTAAAGTGCAGGCCCTTTTGAGAAATCATCTGCATTTGAGCTGTGAGCAATTCCTTTCAGGGGTTAAGACAACTAAAGAGTTTCTGTTCAGACTTCACCCTCCAGGTCCCAAGATCTACCAGACTGAGAGAAAAACAGAACTGCAGAGAGATTGTAGATCACCTCCTCCCTCATGCCTCTGAACGCTCAGATATAACTTTAAGAAATTAGGAAGAAATGCATAATTTATCGGATGACCAGAGACTACCACAGAGGCACAAGAAATATGAGAAACCAAGAAAATATCTCTCCCCCAAGAGGAAAGCACAACTCCTCATGCACAGACAGTACAATGGAACTTGTGGAAATGTCAGATAAAGAATATAGAATATTTGTAGTGACAAAGCTAACAGAGATGCAAGAGAAGAGAGACAATGAACTTTAGAAGATGCAGGAGAAAAGAGTCAACAAGTTTCAAGAGGTGCGGAAGTTCTTGCATGAGTTGAAATACACACCATAAAAAATAATCAGGGACCAGCAGATGGTGCAATGGTTACGTTGTTGGACTCCCGGATAATCGACTGAAGTTTGAGTCCTGGACTCAGCGGCTTAAAACTCAATGCATGTGCATGCATTCCCAAAATCCCAAGAAGAGACTAGAGGAGAAGGGATTGCAGTGTGGCCATCCCCCCTGGGGGGTGATTTCTTGTTTTTGTCTCTCTGTCTCTCCAGCAAGCTCATGTATCCTATAGCCAAAAATCTCTCTTAAACAAAAACAAACAAACAAAAAAAGAATCAAATGGAGCTGTTAGAGGTGAAGGCTATAATACAGGAAATAAAAACCTCCCTTGAAAGTATTAAAAGCAGATAAGATAATACAGAAGATTGAATTTCAGATGTAGAAGACAGAACTTCTGTCCTAGAAAATTTCACCAAAAAGAATGAAAAAATAATCCAACAAAATGAAAATGATATACAAGAAATATTAGATACCATTAAACCTGCAAACATCTAGATAATTGGTATCCCAGAAGGTGAAGAAACTAACAAGGGCATTGATAATTTATTCTATGAACTCCTAGAAGAAAACTTTCCAGACCCAGAGAGACACTCAAATATCCAGACCCAAGAAATACAAAAGACCCTGCATACAATCAACCCAAGAAGATCTTCTCCAAGGCACATCATAGCCAGATTGACCAAAACCACAGACAAAGACAAGATTCTAAAATTGGCAAGAGAGAAACATCAAGTTACTTACAAAGGATATTCCACCAGGCTAACAATGGACCCATCATCAGAAACAATGTGGGAAAGGAAAGGATGGGAAAATATATTCAAAGTGTTGAGTGAAAAACAATTTCAAACAAGAATTCTATACCCAGCAAGATTATCCTTTATATGGGAAGAAAAGACAAAAATATTCTCAGATAAACAAAACCTGAAAGAATTTACCAACAGCAGTCCTGCTCTTCAAGAAGTTCTGATAGGTGTGCTATACCAGGAAAACTAAAGACAGACACACAGAAATAAGAGTCCAAAAAACAACCAAGAAAATGGCCAACTTAATGGTAGGAACAAGTCCAGAATTTAATTTTATTTTTTTTTAGAGTTTTTTTTTGCTACAGGGCATGTGCGCTCGCCAGAAAGACAGAGACAGAAAGACATGTGCCTGGCTTAAGTTTAAGCCACTGGGTCTGGGACTTGAACCGTGGTCGACTACATGGGAGTCCAGCAACATAGCCATTACTGTAACTGTTGGTCCCCAGAATTGAATGTTAACTTCTGGAATTTAAATGAAAAGATCAGACCACAACAAAAGAGATTACTTACATGAGACTCAACTGGTGAAAGAGAATTTATGACTTTTGACTAAAACATGACTGATTTTTATTTTATACTTTGTTTTCCACATTTAAGGTTTTATTGTCGTCTCTTAAACTGTTGATACGTTCATCTACCTACTATTCGAACAGAATCCTAACCTTTTTCCTGGCTTTAAGTCTTAAAACATTTTGTGATTTTAATTTATTATGGCTAAAACTTTTCTTGAAATTAAAAAAATACATTAAAAATATCTATTTAATTATTGCAGTAAGCTATATAAACTCAGCTATTTTGTTCTTCAGGTACTAATTAAAAGAGAGACATTAAGAGTGCTTTTTAAATTTTTTTTAAAGAGAGATTTTTGCTATAGGGAGTAGGCACTTGCCAGAAAGACAGAAAGTGAGAAATGACCCCCCAGGGGTATGGCCAGCCCACAACCCCTTCTCCATTTTCCTTTTGAGATCTTGGGCACTGATGCACATGTGCCTGGCATGAGTTTTAAGTTGCTCGGTCCAGGACGCAAACCGGAATTGACTACATGAGAGTTCAGCAACGTTACCATTATGCCACCTGCTTGCTCCTAAGGACTATTTTATTTGTTTGTTGTTTTCAAAAGAATTATTTATTTTCTCCTGTTATTAATTTTTTTTTTTTTTAGATTTTTGTTATAGAGAGGGTGTGCTTACCAGAGAGGCAGAGAGAGAGACAGAGACAAAGAGAGAAATCACCCCCCATGGGGGATGGCCTTGCTGCAATCCCTTCTCCTCCACTCTCTGTCAGGATTTTGGGCACATACGCACATATGCCCACATGAGTTTTAAGCTGCTGGGCCCAGGACTCAAACCATGGTCAACTATATGGGAGTCTAGGAACTTAAGTATTATGCCATCTGTTGGTCCCTTATTTTTTTCGACCAGAGAGAGAGAGAGAGAGAGAGAGAAAGGGAAAGTGAAAAAGCAAGCTGCTAAGTCTGGGACTTGAACTGCAGTTGGCCATGTGGGAGTCTAGCGCTTTAACCACCATGCCACCTGCTGGTCCAGGTTCTATTTCATATAAATTTTCAAGGCTCATTAATTGTAGCATTTATCAGAAATTAATCCCTGGGGCCTGCACATGTGGCTGGATCCCACATGGCTGTGTGGTTCAAATCCTGAACCTGCCAGCTTGAAAAACACACTGGGCATGTGTATGTACATGAATAAAATCTTGAGACAATAAAGAAGAAGTGATTGTGGTATGGTCATCCTCCCTGGGGGATTCTTTCTTTTTATTTCTGTCTCTCCCTAGTGTGCACATGCACCCTATGGTAAAAATAAAATGAAAATTAGAAAGTTGTAAAATTAAAAAAGAAATTCATTTTTATTGTTGAACAATATTCCATTGTATAGATAATGCCATATTTTAGCTTTTCATCAGTTAATGGACACTTGAATTGCTTCCACTTTTTGCTTATTATGAACTACAGTGCTATAAACATTTATGTCAATGTCATGTGCATATATATTTCATATCTTGTATGTATATGTGTAAGAGTGAAACTGCTAGATCATATTTCTGTTTAGCATCCTGAGGAACTGCTGGACCATTTTTCAAAGTGGCTGCACAATTTTTATATTCCCACCAGCAATGTATGTGAAGCTTCCAATTTCTCCCAACCTTCACAAAACTATTTATGGATTATAGTCATCCTGGTGTTTGATATTGCGCCTCATTGTGGTTTTCCATTTGAATTTCCCTAATGGCCAATGATTTTGACATCTTTTCATGTATTTTTTAGCCATTTGATTTTCTTTTTTTGAGAAATGTCTGTTCAGGTCCATTAAGTCTTTTTTTTTTTTTTGAATAATATGGAAGATCTACTCTCTTAGCAAATTTGAAGGATATAATACAGAATTTTTAATTATAGTCACCATGCTGTACATTAGAGCTCTAAAACTTACTCAATTTTTTAAAAAGAATTATTTTATTTAACTTTATTTACTTATTTTAATTTGACCAGAGAGAGACACACAATGAGAGAGAGACAGAAAGAAAGAAAGTGAGAAAAGCAAGCTGTCAGGTCCAGGACTTGAACTGCAGTTGGCCACGTGGGAATCCAGTGCCCTTAATCCCTATGCCATCTGCTAGCCCCCTTATTCAACTTAAAAAAAAAATGTTTATTTATTCTGTGAGCAAGAGAGACAGAGACACAGACAGACAGAGACAAAGATAGTGACAGATACTGAGAAAGACAGCACTCCCAATAAGGTTGTCATGTTATAATTTGCCCCAGAAAGATGCCCAGTGTACTCAAGGAAGTCTGAATGCAATTCAGAACCTTCCCATGTGAGTCTGCTTTGCAGAGCATCTTGTTTTACTGCTGAGCCACTGTCAGATCCCAATTTATTTTTTTACAGGATCTTTTGTCCATTTTTTAATTAGTTTTTGTTTGCTATAAGGCACTTGTGCTTGCCAGAGATAGACAGAGAAAGTGAGAAATCACCACCCTGGGGCAGGGATGGTCACAGTGCAATCCCTTCTCCCTCATTTTCTTCTTGAGATTCTGGACACCAATCCACACATACCTGGCCTGTTTTTTAAGACTCCCAATCTGAAACTCAAACCACTCAGTCAGCCCTGTGAGATCAGCTACCTTAACCTCCATGTCACCTTCTGGTTCCCTTTATTCATTTTTTAAACTGGGCTATCTTTCCATTAGGGAGCTAGAGAAGCTTCTTTTTATTTTTGTTCTTAAATTGTTGAGTGTCTCTCCAGAGAGAGAAGGGAGAAAGTATCCCCTCAGTGAGATATGGTCATGCCACGTCTCTTCCATTTCTCCATCCTATAGGGATTTGGGACATGCATGTACATGTACTAACATGTTTTTCAAGCCACTGAGGCCAGGATTCAAGCAGTGTGTTTGGCTACGTGGGATCCAACTCCTTTAACCACTAGGCCATTGGACTGGCCCAAATCCTGTAATTCTTATTTTTTAAAAAATAAACTTATTAATTTATTATTATTTTAAAGTTTGCTATATGCACTCACCAGAGAGAGAGACAGAGACAGAGACAGAGAAAGCAATCCACCAGGTCTGGGAGTCAAACCATAGTTGGCCATATGGGAGCCTAGCATCTTAAACACCATGCCATTTGCTGGCCCCCAATCCTGTAATTTTTTTTTTTAAGAGCGATTTTTGCTGTAGGGCATGTATGCTTGTTGGAAAGACAGAAAGAGACAGAGAGAGAAAGTGAGAAATCACCCCCTAGTGGGATGGCCACGCTGCGATCCCTTCTCCTTCATTCTTCTGTCAGGCATGCACATGAACCTGGTGTGAGTTTTAAGTCACTGGGTCCAGGACTCTAACCATGGTCGACTATGTGGGAGTTCAACAACATAACCATATGACATCTGCTGGTCCCAGTCCTGTAATTCTTTTTTTTTTTTTTTTGGAGAGGTTTTCGCTATAGGGCACATGTACTCACCAGACAGACAGAGACAGACAGAGAGACAGAAAGTGAGAAATTACCCCCCAGGGACTTTCTGTCTCTGTCTTTCTGGTGAGTGCATGTGCCCTATAGCAAAAACCTCACCAGGAAAAAAAAAAAAAAGAATAAAATGCTTGATGGTCTTCCTTGTGAAAAACAGTGGACTGAAATAAGAATTTTTTTTTCAAGATTAAGAAAACCTTTTTTTTTTAGAGGTTTTTTTTCCTTAGGGTGCATGTGCTTGCCAGAGAGAGACAGAGACAGTGAGAGGGAACATGAGAAATCACCCCCTAGAGGAGTTAGCCACTTTGCAATTCCTTCTCCATTTTCCTCCCAGGATCTTGCGCATGCTTGCACATGTTTTTGGCATGATTTTCAAGCCACTGGATCCAGGACTCAAACAGCGGTCGGCCATGTGGGATTCCCGTTATGTGACCCCTATGCCATCTGCTAGTACCCTGAGAAAAGCTTAAGTAATAAAGCTGGCTCTGTGGAGCCAGTACACAGTGGTAATGTGCTATCCAAGAGAAACTGGATTCCTACATAGCGAGTGGTTTAAATCCCCAGCTCACTTATCTGCTGACACAAGTGTGACTGTCCAAGATCCAATGGGCTAGAAGATGGGAATAGTGGCATAACCAGATTTGGTGGAGGGTGCTTAACTCTGTCTCTCTTCCTTACTCTCACATGTGTGTGTGCACATGCTCTACCATGAATAAAGAAACAACGGCTTAATTGTAAGGCAAACAAGTAACCTCATCCCAGTTGGTGGTGTTGTGGTTAAGGCTGCTTGCTGGATCCCACATGGTTCAAAGCAGGGTTTGATTCCTCCATCTGGTGGTTTGAGAAACATGCCAGGCATGTGTACGTGCATGCCCAAAATCCCAAGAGGAAAATAGAGATGGTATTGTGGCATGGCTATCCCCCCAGGAGGTGATTTCTCACTTTCTTTCTCTTTCTCTCTCTCTATTTGGTGGAGGGTGCTTAACTCTGTCTCTCTTCCTTACTCTCACATGTGTGTGTGCACATGCTCTACCATGAATAAAGAAACAACGGCTTAATTGTAAGGCAAACAAGTAACCTCATCCCAGTTGGTGGTGTTGTGGTTAAGGCTGCTTGCTGGATCCCACATGGTTCAAAGCAGGGTTTGATTCCTCCATCTGGTGGTTTGAGAAACATGCCAGGCATGTGTACGTGCATGCCCAAAATCCCAAGAGGAAAATAGAGATGGTATTGTGGCATGGCTATCCCCCCAGGAGGTGATTTCTCACTTTCTTTCTCTTTCTCTCTCTCTCTCCAGCAAGCACATGTGTCCTGTAGCAAAACTAACCAGCCTCTCTAAATGAGGAGCAATGTTAATACACCACAGAAATTACCAGTTATAAGGAAGGTTCTGGATGATCTGTTTTTACAGCTGTGAACTATTCATATCATTAGACGCATAGAAGGGAGAATCATAATTCTTACTATTTATCAATCAATAGTATCTCATTTCTCAAAAATTTTAGTCTGAGGCCCTGTACATTCTTAAATATTTTTGAGGGCCCCAAACAGCTTTTGTTTACATGAGTTATACCCACTGATATTTACTATATTAGATATAAAACTTGAGAAAATTTAAAAAATTAATTTGTTTAAAATAATAACTCCATTATATATTAACAAAAGTAACAATGTTTACAAAACAAAAACTTAGAGAAGTGCTAAAAAAAACATACTGTACCCCAAGAAGATACACTTCAAATATGTGTAAATCAGAAATTATAATTTAAGAAATTATTTTAAAATCCCATCAATTTGTCTTTATTTTTCTTTTTAAATTTTATCATTATTATTTTTAAACATTTTGCCATAGGACATGTATACTCACCAGAGTGAGACAGAGAAAGTGAAATAGCTAGCTGCCATGCTTAGGACTTGAACTGTTGTCATCCGAGGAGGTTCAGTACTTCAACCACCTGTTGTCATCTGAGGGCATCCAGTATTTCAACCATCATACCACTTGTTGGCCCTTGTCTTTCATTTTCAATAAATCTTTTATCTACGATTTTGTAACATCATACATTGGCCGTTTGGAAAATATTGGCCCACTGAAGTATGAAGACACTATAAATGTTTGTACATTTCAGAAACCTATTCTCCTAGAATATTTTAGAGAACATGAACACACAAGTACATATTCCATCAGCCATTGGAACGATGGTGTCATTACACTGTGTTGCCTCTGGAAAACTTCAGTGTACATCTGAGAAAGAATGAGAGGAAAAAGACAAATTATGTCTTATTATGAAAATAAAATCTAATGAAAAGGTCTTAGTATCAGACCACACTTTAAGAGCAGCTGATGTGGTATGATATGACCTACCATCTCATTTAAAAATTAAAAAAACCCCAGAAGTCAATAAACATACAGCAGCACACAAAACACAAACAGTAAAATATTATGAAAAATACAGTAAAAATGACAATTTCCCATCTTTTTATATGCAAGTAGGCAGACAGGCTTATAGAAACGGATTGCTTCCAATTATCATGCTGAGGTCACACGGAAAGGTGCCAGGTTCATGTCCCAAGGCCTTCCTGTGCATACCTGGCACTGGTTGGCTGAAACTGGGGACAGGATTATGACCTGAAGACAAATGTTGGGGGTATTTCTCATCTTACTTTTTCACTGAAGAAATAAGTAAATTAAAGAAAAACCAGATGACTTCCAATTTAAAAGTCCCTCTCATTTTTTTAAACTTTGAATCCTATTAATTATTAGTATTTAAAAAAACCTGGGTAGGTGTCTTGGGGAAAAAAATATTTCACTCATTGCCTCCCTACCCAAGACAGACTGAGGAAACGTGGGTTGCAGGCAGAACACCACTAATATTTTGGTATGTTTTCCTTTTCAGTGCCTGGACTATTTCATTTATTATGATCAAGTTTTTTTGCATGTATTAGATGACATTCTAAAGAACTAGTTCTAGATGTGGAGACCTGCTAGATAAACAACTTTTGCTCTTTGTTGTCTTATTTCCAGGTTTTTAAGAGCAGGGTGATCCTATTTTTGAAAATATCATTTGCCAACTAGCCTTTAGTAAGTTGGCTAAATATGTCTTTCATTCTGCAATATTGCCAAAGAGAAATTTGTTTTACCCACCCTGACCCTACTTTTCTATTCAGTTACCCAAAGCTCTTGTCATTTATTCTGGCTCCACAAAAGGCCCTATTATGTGGTCCTTCCAGGCCTGCCCTTCTGGAATATGCTCTACTTTAAGATTACATATTCCAGGGCCTAGCACAAGGCGGTGGTTAAGGTGCTGGATTCCCACATGGCTGACTGTGGTTGGAATCCTGGATTGAAAAATCAAATCCAGTGTCTGTGTGTGTGTCCAAAACCCCAGAAGGGATTGTGATCTCTCTCTCTCCACAAAGTGCACAGCCCTATGTCAAAAACAAGATAAAAATTAAAAATTGTACCTATTCCTCCATCTTGTCTCTTATCCTTCAGCAAACATACTGTATTCCATCAGTGAAGTCAGAGCTGAGATCAGTTTAGTCTGTGAATAAGTTGACGTCAAGCCTATTACAATAATTGATATTAGGTATACAAGGACAGATGCCAAGGATTTAAGAACTAAGAAACAACTGATGATCTGTACACATACACTTGTGAAGGGGTGACTACATGCAGTTGTTGATCACAGACTGGTTAGCTTTTCTTTCCAATCATACTAAAAGCCAATAAGGTATTTGGATTTTAATCCTGAGTGCCCAGTCTACAAGTGAAGGGCAATCCTGCTAAGAGAAGAAACAAGATACGAGGTCACCATAAGGCTGTGTTTGGCGGTCTATAGATTTAGATATGTGGGTGAATGTGAGCTAAACACCAAGAGAGCAGTTCTCGTTCTAACAGGTTTTATCTCAAATGCCCTTGGTAAATTCCTTTTCACATTCCACTTATTCCCTGGGCTGACTTAAAGCATTTTATTTTATTTTACTTTGTAAGTAAAATTTGGTTATCGAAGTTGGAAGCTGTGATTCCCAAGTGTGTGTATGGTTCAAATGACCTCAGACTTGTAAGTGTGTTGAACAAGTTAACGCCATCTCCGGCTTCTCTCGGTGGCGTTCTCTGTCCTCCTGTGGCTGTTCCAATCCTGAGGCTTGGCTGAAGGTGGACGATGGGGTGACTGTCCGGCCCAGAAGGCCAACAGAATCATTCTTCTGCGAGTCTGGAGATTCTGGTTGGCGCCGTGACCTTTCACTCAACAGGCAGGCAGTGCGCCGTCGGCGAAGGGCCGGAGCCGGAGCCCGCACTGCGCGCCGGCGCCAGCAACAGGCACGACGGGCGTGCCGCCACTGGGGAGCCTCCTGCGACAGCAGAGAGCCGCGCACGA